ATCCACTGGAAATGTCCGAATGGGCAGACAAAGGCCGAAATCAATTTCACCCGCTCTGGCATCTGAATTGCTCAATAACCGCTCGCCATATCCAGACTCATGAACCATGCCGCAGCATTAAAGTCAGTCAGCAAGTCGTCAATCAGAGGTAGAGGGTATCGCGATAGCTTGATCAACTGGTTAACCAGCCTGTAATCAACACACATTCTGATATCCTCTTCATTCTTCTTCAAAACGATCGCGATCGGGGATGATTACTCCGATTCAGAATGTTCAATGAGTCCGGTCTCTAGGAGCTTCTTCAGCAGTTCGTAAACCTTCACCAGATATATGGAGGGGATCTGTTGAGCACGCAGTGCTATCGGCATCGCATCACCTACAAACGACTCCACGAGCTGGGGCCGGTGCGGCTATGCCATCACCTAAAAAGATACGACGATGATAGTTCAAGATCTTCCGCATCTTGTCTTCCATCTCTGGGGTCGTGACGCCTGGAACGCCAACGTCGGCTTTGTCGATATCACACTCTGGGCTCATTTTTTCTAACTCTGGAAATATAGTCAGGTGATCGCTCAACTGAGCCAAGAGCTCCGTCCCTTCTCGCAGATACCCACGCCGGTTACCGTGTTACAACATGAGTCTCAGAATTCTGAAGTATTTGCAGATGAAGTAGAGGCACACTCGAAGTCGATATCAGAGTTTCCCAATAGTGGGGTCGATGGAGAAGTATTTCGAGGCACAGAGAACCAACACTGGAGGTCACCCAACCCGCATCCGGGTCAAGGTACAGCACGACCAGAGAATTGGGACGTCTTTTGTGAGAAGTGTAGGAAGTGGGGACACCCAGAAGTCAAATGTTGGACCCGAATGATATGTGAACGATGCCAAGCCAAGGGACACCCGTCCAGAGTCTGTACCAGAACCCCCTGTGTCGAATGTGGAAGTTTCTACGGTGGAATATCGTGAGAACAGTGGAAAGCTTTCCCGTCAGTGATGACGCTGGCGAAGCAAGGAAATGCAAGTGAATTACGAACCCAATTTCGAAGTCTCCTCCAGACCAAGGATCACGCTTCAGGGGTGCAACAGTCAAACCAATAATCCCGCCGGATGGGGATCCGGTACGCGATGGGCCTAAGAACTCCCCTGAAATGTGTGTGATAGTCTGTATAGGACCAGAACGAAGGACGCGACTACAAGATAACCTACAATGCATGAATTTAGTTCAAGATGAAATCATCTACCCTGAACAATTGTACTCAGAGTACCAGCGTTCAAATGACCCGATTCTAGAGATCTCTGAGCCTGAATCTCAGGATCCTTTGGAAGTCCCGTTGAAACCGGGTCAGAGGTACGGATGGTGGGAAGATCACGAACATGGAGACATGCATGGATTGGCTACGATACATGGAGCTGTGAACGACTCCAGAACCAGAATCTTATTGAACACTGGTGCGTCCGTGAGCATTATGAGTCTTGGTCTAGCGCGTAGACTCAAACTCAAGCTCCGGACACACCGTCAAATTAATGTCTCTGGTTTAGGAGGAGTGACCACTTATATTACTACTCACGCCAGAGTGAAGATAACTCTCGGATGGAGTGTGGTGTACGTCCTGAATATCTGGGTTGGAAACATTGGAGAAGGTGCTGATGTTCAGCTAGGCATGAACGTTATGCACTCGGCAGGTGTCCGACTCTGCATACGAGAATGCTTGGTGAAGCTGCCAGACGAAGAGACTGTGATTATATATGACGATAATCCCATGTCCTGTGGTATGGATATCCCTGTATGCCCAGAGGAAAGGATACACCTGCGTCCTGGTCAGGATGCTATTGTACGAATTCGGTATGGCCAGTCCAATCCCCAACGTGAGTTGGTGTGGGCTGGGAGAGGCAAAACCTGGGTGACCAAGGTCCTGTATTCTGCCAGATCCTGGACGACTGCCGTCAACGTAGTTAATGTTTCTGACCAGAATGTTTGGATCGACACTAGGACTGCGGTTGCGCGTATTGTGGAGTATGGACAGTTCCCAGGGCAACCTGGATTCGTTCGTCCTGGTAAAGCACGGTATGAGGAATGGCAACAATTGATACATGAGTGTACCGTGTCACGCCAAGCAAGGATGCGTGCTGAACGATTGGAGCTGATTCTCAGGGAAAAAGGAGCCTCCGTGCACCCAGACCCAGAGATATCAGGGACCAACTAAGCTCTTAGTGCGTCCACAGCCCCAAGCCGCTGAAGTGAAGATGGTAAAGTTGCAAGAAAAGCCGAAACCGTTGGATATGATACTCAAGAACACTGGGAACTCAGCGGTCGTCATGAACACGGTCGAGAGAGATCCCGAGGAACCTGAGACCCGTCCTGAGCCGGTAGGACAGACCCATCCTGACTTGAGTCCAGACGTTGAGACTCTGGATCCAGAGCGTATGGTGGATGTCGAGAATAATGCTCAGGTCCCTGAACCGTCAGTGGATGCCCAGTCACAGACAAGCTGTTCGACACCGGTCCAAAGGCTTGGGGCGGAATATGCTCGGGTGATGCGAGTCTCCGCCGAAGAACTGGACGTAGAGCCTGCTGTTTATCTCAGGGAAGGAAGTGATTTGATGGCGCAGTTAAGAGACCAACTTATCATGCTCCCGGAAATTGAGGAACTGACCCCAGAATGTAACATCGACGAAGCTAATGTCGGAGTTCCGGGGGGTCACAACTCCAGAGATGGAAGCCAAGATGAGAGGGATCCTGAAACGCCATCGCAGCATCTTCCTGGGAGATGGCAACGCACCTCCGGCTCGGCCGAGGGGCGTAGTGTGCGACATCGACGTCGGTGAAGCAAAACCAGTGGTTTTGCGTGCGAGACAGATTGCCGCACCGTTCTTGGTGAAAGTGTTTGAACTCTTGAAGAAGTTGTTGGAGGCAGAGCTCATTGAGCACTCAGAGTCCGAGTGGTCTTCACCTATTGTGATTGTACTGAAGAAAACCGGCATAGACATCCGGATGTGTATTGACTACCGACTTCTCAACCTACTGATCAAGCTATCTCGTCCTCTACGTTTGATCGATGACCTGCTGGTAGATTTCAAATCCGGGATGTAGTTTATTTGGCTCGACATGGCGAGTGGATTCTGGGCGGTGCGAATGACTGAACGTGCGAAGTTAATCTCTGCGTTCGTCTGCCCGTTCTGTCATTTTCAATGGCTCAGAATGCCTTTTGGATTGAAGAATGCACCGTTGATTTATCAGAGCATCATCAACAACTGTCTGTGGGATTCGTCCGTCTACCTCTTGAAGAGGAGGCGATGGTTGACCCAGAAGTTCTAGAGTTCCTGGATCTCGAGCCTCAAGAAGCTCTGAAACCTGAAGTGGATATGCGGGATTCAGAAATTCCGTCATTGGATATGACTGTATTCCAACGCAATATTCCGGCCCCGTCACAAATGGGTCCGGCCTTGGGAAGAAGTTCGTATATTGACGATATCACTCATGCGGCGTCGACCTGGGGCCAACTCTGTGAGGAGCTGGACGCGTTGTTATACAGACTACGATACTGGAATATCTCTGTAAGCTTACCGAAAAGTGAATTTGGAAAGTTGACCATCCCATTCCTCTCTCATGCAGTGAGTGCGGACGGGATCAGAGCCTTGCCGAAGATTGCCAAAGGCATAGATGACTTACCTTTCCCGTCGACGTACAAGGGAGTACTGTCCTTATTAGGAAGTCTGAACTATTACAATAAGTTTATTGAAGACTTGTCAGGAGTTGCCGCTGTGCTCTACGAACTAGACGAGGAACGTGAACGTGCCGGACGGAACCTGGTAGTTGCAAAGGAGTATTTCGAGATATTGAAACGTAAGATCGTGTCAATCCCGTTACTGCGACATCGAGACATAACCTAGCCTTTCGTGATTATTCCGCATGCTAACCCGTGGGTGGCGTGTGCGGTTTTGGGTCAGGAGCATGAAGGACTCATACACCCAGTACGATTTACTAGTAGAGTGTTGAAGGAATCAGAGCTACGTTACCACATAGCCGAGAAGGAAGTGTTTGAAATCTTACGGACTCTGGAAGTTTGAAGACCCTTGATCCACGGATCAGGATTCGCGGTTGTGGTGTATACGCGCTACTCTGTGCTAAAGTGGTTAATAAGGGACGGCATCTGAAGTGGGGGCTGGAACTATCGAGATGGACACTGGAAATCCATTGGACTCAGAAAGATGAGGACGGCCTTGCGGCCATCCTTGGGCTGGTATAACTCCCAGGGAACATTTAGATGAAGTTGTAGAGACCCTGATTCCCGCCAAGGGGCGTCTGAAAGTGATGCCACCAGTGAGTCTGGAAAAATTGGAAGCAGACTATCAAGGCTACGTCCTGAGTTTTGATGGCGCTGCAAAGGTTTCTACCCGCCGAGGAAGTTGTGGATGCATACTGTGGAAGCTGCCAGGGTGGCAGGTTGTGTAGGCTGAAGGACACATCCTAGAATGTGTGACGGTCAATGATGCTGAAAACCATGGTTTGATTCTGGGGCTAAAGCTCGCTATGAAGTATGATGTCAAGAAGCTTGTGGCAGTCGGTGATTCCCGAATCGTTGTCCAACAGGCTCAGGGTCTGATCAATTGCACCCAGCCGAACCTGCAACGACGCTTGGCTGGGTATGAGGATCTCAGGAATAATTTTACATCTGTGAAGTTAATTCATGTCAAACACGAATTTAATCAAGTATCTGACTACTTGACCTCTAAGACTCTCGTGCTTGAAGAATCCTGGGAGCTCGAGGACCCCGATAAGATAATGCATCTACGTCTCGTATCCAGAATCCCTGAAAAGACCATGACTTCAGAAATTCCATGTACCCCTGCGACCGATGCAGTTCACTCGGACCAAGTCGAACCTGGGATGTGTAGCTCTAAAGCTGAAATACCTGAGCCCTTAGCGACCGCGGCTGAAGTATTGATGGTGATGACAAGGTCACGCGCGGTAGCTGACACAGGTTCCCGGAATCCTGTAGACCAGTCTGAATACCAGGGTAAACGTTGGAGGAGGATCAAGGTTCACCAAAACGAAGACCTGTGGATCCAGCAAATGAAAAAGGTCCTAAAAGGAGACGTGTCAGATCTTCCACGGAACCAGGTGAAGAAGATTGGGAAGGTTTCTGATCAGTTTGTGTTGGATTCATGAGGAGTCCTTTACAGGGTGAGCACACCCACTCCTGAGAGGCCCCGCAACAAACAGTCGGAACTCAGGATGGTGGTCCCAGAGACTTTACGTGCTGACATGTTACACTACTCACACGAAGATTTTCAAGGTGGTCATCAAGGAATTAACATGTCGTTTGAGCGATTACGTTCAGAGTTCTGCTGGATCGGGATGTACGCTGATGTACAGAAGTTCGTGAGAGTGTGTGTGGAACCAAGGGGCGACCTCCGGTCTTTGGCCCATCACCGGGCAATATCGAACCGAGATATCCGTTCGAAGTGGTCTCTATGGATTTTGTCACCGAGCTACCTGAGTCCGATCGTGGACCCACATACTTGTGGCTGTTCCAAGATCAATTCTCAGGATATGTCATGTGCAAACCCATGTGGAATACAGAAGCCCAAGATGTTGCTGAGGCATACGAAGTGCGTATTCACAATATTTGGGACAAGTTCAATGATTAGACATGATCAGGATCCGTTTCATGAGTAAAGTCTTCGCTAGATTCAGAGATCTTCTGAAAAGTAAGCAATGTGCGACGCTAGGATACCGGCCTAGGCCAATGGACAGTAAGAACGCTCAGTCCAAACGGTAATGCGAAGTGTCAGAGCGTATGTCGCTGAGGTTGGCCAGAGCGACTGGGATGAGCATGCAGAACGTCTCATGTTCGCTCTGAATACCTCGTTCGCCGCTGCAAGATTGGACACTCCGTTCTACCTGGTCCATGGCGGGGACCCCCAAGGAACCATATCTGCGACGATGCTGGGCCGAAGCCATCCACAGTCCAAGAACGAACAGCTTTGGAATGGCGTCGGAAGATGCAACGGGATTATAGATATGCCCTTGCGTGCGCTGAAGACTTGCAAAAGAAGGCGAAGCGTGCGAGATCTGCTGCCCAGACTAGTAAGTGGAGAGAACTCTCGGATCGTGTAAAGGCAGGTTTTGAAGTCGGTGATTCTGTATGGTTGTATATTCCCAAAGTCCGCACAGAATTGAGTCGCAAGCTAGCTCACCTGTGGCATGGACCCTTCCGAATCGACGAAATTCATGACGACTTCAGAGTCAAGCTCAAGATCCCAGGCACAGGATACCGTGTGAACACGTGGGTCCACGCTAGCCGTCTCAAACGAGAGCTCTATTCCCTAAACGACCGACCTCAGAGCTACAAGTCTCAGAAAATGACGATTTTGACGCAGCTCTGCTACCCGAGGATAGTTAGGAGCCAGACACTGCCCAAGACGAGTATGAGGTCGAAAAGATCCTAGATCTCAGGTGAATCAAACGCACAAGGACCTCCAAGCGTTCTCGAGAATATCTGATCAAGTGGAAAGGATTTACGGACCCAGAGTGGATACCTCTAGCCCAGCTTAATTGCATTGCTATACGAGTTCGACCAGGGTGCTAAGGCGAGAGCACGTTTCCAAGCTATGCAAGCTGGGGACGATCACCCTGGGAACTAGGGCTGAAGACAATGCCCGGTCCACGGAACTTGTATGTGGGAATATGATGGTAGCGATTTTGAGAACTGTGAGTGGTCGTTTCCTGGATCCAACGAGGATCTCAGAGAACAACCAATGTATGAGTGAGTGTCAAGACGAAGATTGTCATTAAGTGGTAAAGAAGTCAAGATGCGAGAACGAGAAGTGGAAAACGATCAGTATTAACGAGTTACTGCCTGAGACTGAGAGAAAGGAGAGTGACTCCGACATCCAGAGTACGTGGAGAACAACAACTGACGAAAGGAGTTCAGGCTTGAGACGCCGCAGATAAGGGAATCACGTTCCGGGCTCTGCGCTCAGGCATTATAAGAACTGGGTGCATGAATGAAGGGACCGACTATGGCCAGAATGTCATCGTCGCTGTGCGCCGCAGCCCATTGAGTGCGGACAGAATCCTCCGCGTCCAAGTCGTCAAGTTGAGCAGTGTAGTCAGGGACTCCACGGCGAATAAGGGGCGAACGCTCAGGATCCAGCGGCACGCACACACAGGTAGCGTCCACAGACCAGGCTCGTAAAGCAGCGTCTTCGGAAACCCAGTGATCGCAAACAACCGGTTAAGTAGAGCCTCGTACTGTGCCTGATGCCGTTTGACATCTCTGCGACGTTCGTCGTACAAGTCACGAGAAGCATCTGTACAAGTCACGAGAAGCATCTGTACAAGTCACGAGAAGCATCTGTGTCAGCAGCGTCTCGCTCCAAGAAGGTGATGGTTAGCCAGTGGAGAATTGCCCACCAAGTCTTGGCGTTGACACGCATGAAGTCCACGTAATCCTTGATTCCGTCGAGCGTCTCAGAGTTCAAGTCACGCACTTCGTGAAAATAGAACACGATGATGCGATCTTGGAATATTACAGTCCAGGGCGCGCAGGAGGCGACAGGTCGAGGACACTAGGATGTCTCGAACTCGAAGAACCTGAAGATGAGTCACCATTGCCGGTTCCCGGAGAAGGCTTTGCGTACTCAGGGCACTCGCAGCGTGGGTCGTCCAGGGCAACCACATTAATGTTCGTGAGCCAGCCTTCTGGGATCGGAGTGCCCTCAGAGAAGTGATAAAGGAGCGCTGCGAGGTGCATCCAGTTGAACATCACGTTGATCTTGAGCTTGTTCCCCATGAGGAAATCGACGAGGGCGTTCACATCCAAAATGCGCTCCGTAGCGCGTCTCTCAGCCGCCTGTCGAGCGGTCTCAGAATGTCGAAGCTGGGCTTGGAGCTGAGCAACTTGGTCCGTCAGCTCTTGAATACGCGCTCGGTGTTGGAGCTCAGCGTCTTGATGGCATTGACGCAGGAAATTCTCGCTGTCGCTGCGATCCTGCTTGAGCGACGCACGCGTTGGTCTCAATGTCGACCCATGGCCGTCCACTCACGACGCATTACGTCAAAGTTCGCACGGCTCACTAAAGTCTCGAACGATAGCGTGCCGCTACTCTCGGCTGTCGAAGCCGCCTGGAGATATCGAATCTTGGCCAGGAGTCGGCGGATGAAAGACAATGCGTTAATCATCCTCTCCGTCAGGCGATCTAGTGGGAATTGACCCAACAGTGCAGCCAACTCGCGCTGACCTGCGATGGAGATCACCTCTGCGGCGAGTGTAATAGGTGCAGCGCGCTGGCACAATGTCGGCAAGCAGTCAGCAACGTCTCCGCCCATGAGCGCGTCGAGATCTTTGAGATCTGTAGCGTCCAGACTCTCGAAGCACAGCAGTACCTCCAGGCCACCATGCCCAGGATACACCTTGGCGCCACCTTCCATCGCGACGATCGACGCGGGTACGCCGACCAGATGAATATCGGGGCCGCCGTAGACAGGCGGCGCATCCCAGCTGACGGGAGCCAAAGCCATGCCAGTGTCTGCCAGCGTTGCAACCCCAGAGATGACGCGAGCTAGCGACATCTCTTCCACTTCGGCGGGCGACAGGAAATTAGCGGGAGGAAGCATGTCAGCACACGCATCCGCAGGTGTCGTAGCGGACGGCACCACAGCGCCCGAGTCCGCAGTGTCAGCGTCGGAAGATGGCGTGTTGCCAGGCGCAGAATCTGTAACTTGTATAGGGACGACCGCAGCTTCAGGTGTCGGCGCAGCAGGAGATGCTGCAGCCTCGGACGTCGGTTCTGCAGGAGAAGAGGAACTGGGGACGAGATTGTCTTGAACCATGTCGGAAAGAAGAGTGAGGCGACTTGTGTCGAAC